AATCCGTCTATCGCGTTCTTTCATTTCAAAGTTTCAATTCGACTAAATTTGATTTTCATTAATTATTTCTTGCTGTTATTTCATGTCTAAAGCAAAAATGTTTTTTTATTTTTATTTTTTTTTGAAGAAAGTCTAAAGCAAATATGTTAAACTTAAGAATTGAACAAGTTTGATTTGACTATTTGTCTGATTCTTAGTTTAGAAATATGCTTATTTAATTAGAATATATATACACATTTTTAATATTATGATTCGAGGTTTCATCTAGTTGAATAATTATTAAAATATCAATTTAATATTCTTAAAAGAAATGTTAGTTTAATTATTATATTGTGATATTAAAGCATAACTTGACCGTAATTGACGTATATTTCAAATCAAGAGATTGTGAGATGGATTTTTCATGTGTATTAAAAAAAGGTTTTATTTAGTACTTTTCTTTTCTTGCTCTTGATATTATCCACGTCAAAAATCATTTAATTAATTTTATTGCTCGTTGACCAGCCAACGTTGCTTTTAGCAGGACCTTTAGAATTTGCTCCCTCTACTCTTCAAAATTGGATAATAGAAGATTTTTGTAGTTGGATTGGTCAAAGAGTTTAATTTGCATGGTTTTCTAGTTCCTACAAAGTAAACTTATAAATAAATAAATAAAAAGAAAAGAGATTAATTTATTAAATACATTTGATCAAGATTTTAAATATAAATATCCATAAAAATGTTAAAGTATTTAAAAAATTCTAAAACATCTATGTTGATGGATATTTTTTAAAAAGTTATATAAAAAATTTATAATAAGTATCTAAACCACAAATAAATATTTCACTCTTTTTAAACAAGCTATAATATCTATCGTTGATTTTTTGTCAGTTTTTTTATACTATCGATTTATCCTCGTGTCAATAATATTGAATTTATAAACATATAAAATTAAAGTAGGGACAAAACTTTAATATGCTGATTATGAGTATAACTAAATAGTGTTTTACATAAACAAAGGAACTGCTTTCAAGTCCAAGCATGCATATGGTTCGGGATATTTTCAGATGAAACTGAAGCTGTCATCCAAGCATTCTCCAGGAGTAGTCACAACCTTTTATGTGAGATTAATTCTCTTTCATTCTATATTACATTATTATTCTATACTTCTCTTTATATAATTAATCAAATCATTCTTAATATATATATATATATATATATATATATAATTATAATACTATATTCTAAAAGAGGGATAGAGCTTAAACTTACACTTCAACTTAAGCTATGCTGTTAACAACTATTTTGTGATCATTTTGGATATCATAATATTAATTTGTAGATTTTTTAAATTATTCTTTGTATTTAGTTTATTTAATCTTAAATTAAATTTGAGTAATTTATACAACTAATTCAAATAAATCAATTTTTTAAAAGGTTTCTTTAATTTACGTGAGTATGTAGTATCATCGTTACAGGGATATGCAAACATTATATTAAAACATAAAAAGTGGGTTGGTCTAATAATGAGGAATATAGTCTTTTTAACTTTGAAAATTAGTTTTGGAAACAGTTTTCTACTTTTTGATTGGTTGAGAATGCGACTAAAATCGCACATGCATTACAAGAAAATCATGAGTATATAAATGAGGATAATTATCTCCATTATATAAAACCATTTAGGTGAAACTAAAAGAAAAGTCGTGAGAATTATGTCCAAAGTGGATAATATCATATAATTGTGGAGATATTTGGAATATCGTTGTTGTTACTTTGCATATTGAAATAACTATATGGTATGATTAAATGTAGTTGCACTCGAGTCCAGACAACAATTCAGGACCTCACGATGAGGTTGACTTCGAGTTCTTAGGCACGGATGGACCGTTATATGCCCTACGAACCAATGTTTTTGCCAACGACAACGGAGGAAGAGAGCAACGATTACATTTATGGTTTGATCCCACCCTAGCATTTCACGACTATGCAATTCTTTGGAATTCCCATCAAATTGTGTAAGTTCACTTACAAACCCATATTTGATGATGTATAAAGTTAAGCAATTGGGAACATTTCCACCATCAGTAGCTTTATAAGTATTGTTGGAATGATATATAGTTGTTTGGAAAACTTAACTTTTGAGGGTAAGTATTTTATTAAAAAAAGAAGAAATGTTTAAGTTGAAAATAACAAATATCAAATTTTTTACATGGAACAGGTAGTTTTTGAGCATGACATGATATAATAATAAGATGAAGTTGTTTTTTCTTAGTCATTTGTGGCTATAAATTAGAAATTACTTTCGAGTCCTGTGGTTATAAATTATAATATATCACATCCGATTCATCATTATTACAAGAGTCAAAATCGTCGTTCTCCAAATTTTCTTCTTAGGATCATCCTAAAAAAAAAAAAAGAACCACCATTCTCTCAAATTATGATATGACCAAGATGTTATCTCTTGATGAATAAATGTCTTCAACACGAGAGAGGAGATAGCTCTAAAAGCAATGAATAAATTATATTTTGAATATGTATCTATACACTTGACTTTTACCGACAAAAAAGAGCTGCATCAGCGTAGACATGAGTATACCGATGCTTTATACTCTCATACACGTCGAAATTTCTATACAAAATGCTCTCGTTAATTCATTAACGAAAATTTTCAGGTTGTTTGTAGATGAGATTCCAATAAGGGTATTCAAGAACTACACATCAATTAGCGCAAGGTACCCTTCACAAGCAATGGTTGTGGAGGGAAGCATATGGAATGGAGAAGCATGGGCCTCAGGGGGCAAGAAAGTAAATTGGTCTCAAGCTCCCTTCCAAGCAAATTACAAAGGCTTTGAAATTTTTGGCTGCCCATTTGGAAACCAATGTGACTCCAACAAATTTTTGTGGAACAGGGGTGACACGTGGCAGTTGAATATCAAACAACAAGAATCTTACGAGAGAGTGAAGAGAAAATATGTATATTATAGCTATTGTTCTACCAAGAGTGGACGGCGGCTGTATAAGGAGTGCCAATTTGAGTGAGAGAAAATTTTAATTCAAATAATGATGTAATTTTCACTTTGATTATAATAAAACTTCCATCATCTTCTTATTTTCGTTTGCAACAATTAATATTATGGAGTCCTTGTATGCTTTTTAAGGGGAGAATCGGCTAAATCATTCTTTTATTGCTGCATGAAAGTTAATTTGTTCTCCAGATAAGTCAAACGAGTATTTTGAGATACGTATTTGGTGAATCCACGAAGAGAAAAGCGAGACTTAAATGTTTGAGTTAGTAATTTCTAAGGTAGTCTCAAGATGAGCTACCAATCGTGTGCACATTGAATTTGAGAATTGTCTCCTATTTCTAATAGTGGTAGATAGGGCACAATTATAAGTTATCTAATATTAGTCAAGAATCATGACGTAAGTTTTGCCATCATGGGACGACGATTGATAGAGTTATTATCACCTTGCCATCATGATTTGCCTTCGGCCTTTCCTAAGGTAAATTAATGTATGTGAGATAACTGATAATGATCATGTTTGTCTCTTTCTGGCGTCTCTCCTCTTGCTACGTGGAGGACTATTTTTCCTACTTCAAACATCTTTGATGATAAATATTTCATGGGATCCAACTGCTATCATTTAAGCCAAATGAATGAAATATTTGGCTTACTTAAACCGATTAACAAAAGGTAGAGGGAAAATGCTAGAAGCAAAGGGAAAAAAATACAGACATAGATTTAGCTAAATATTTAGAGTTGAGTATTTTTTTCTTTTCAATTCAATATCTGTTGTTTAAATTTTTTTAATCTAATCATTTATATTTTAACATTTTTTAACTTAGTCCCTCATTGTTAATAAATGTTAAAATTGGTTTTGGAACAAACTCACTTGACATGATAGTTACTGAATTTATGGAAAATTAGAGGAAAAAATGTAAGAGAAAGAAAAACTTAAAATTTTTATCAATTTATTTGAAAAATTTAGAGAAAGTATAAAATTTTCTCTTTTAGACGATATTTTTTTTTAAAAAATTTTTACCAATTCACTAAGTATTATATGCCTTTTAAATTTACAACAACGAGCAACTAAATTGAAAAATGTAAAAACATAATAAATAAAGTTTCAAAATAAAATGGATTAAATATAAAAAATATCCAAACATTAAAAAGTAAAATATATATTTAGCCAAAAAATAAGTTATATATGCGTGTGTATATTTTAAATATTTAGTATAAATCAATAATTAATAAGTAAATATCTACTTACTGGTAGGTTGGTTTTAAATTTCTTAATACTTAAATTGACAGATAGGTTGAATTATATATACTCATTTATGTGGCGTGACTTTATAACGGAGTTGCAATGTCATAATTAATTATGATACAATTACATGCTCATTCAATAACTTTGAAAGAACTAAAAAAGTCATATAAAATGTAAAAAAACGAGCATAATTCAAACGGTAGTATTATATATCTCAAAAAAAAATTATATAAAACGTACCAAGATAAAAAGATTCTTTAACCTTTATTTTTCCATTCAAACAAAAAGTAGAGATTTAAATTTTAAAAAAAGATAATAAATATTTTAACAAGATGAGTCGGAGACACTCTAAAAATATATTATTTTTTTTGACAAGATTTTTATAATAACGCAAAAATACTTTATAAAATCTCTATAATAGAAAATAATATATTTATAAGTACGTCCAAAAAATATATTTCAATGCAAATGTAACTCCATTTAAAATTAGAAAAAAAACTCCAAATAACAGTTTAAAAATACATAAACAAATAATACTTGGAAAAGATAAAAGTCTTCTGTACGACAATATAGTTATTTTACTTTATTTTTTAATGAAAATATGACAATATATTTTATAGTTTCGTCATCTATGTTTGATTTATGGGCCAAGTTGCAAAAAATAAAATAATAAATAAACAAATAACTCGTTGGTCTCTGTAGCGGGAGGGTAACGCCGTTAAGTCTTTCCATTTCTTATAATAACGACTGGAAACGGTCGCGAAGTTGCAGAGAAAAGAATTTTGTCAATTTCCCAAATATTCGCGCGGAAAGATTGACCGTTGATTTGCTAGACGCCGGCGGGAGAAGTAGAACACGCCAACGCCATGTCGACGTTCGCCGGAGCTCCTCCTCCGTTCGACGACGGCACCGCCGGCTACGATCCTCGCCTCTCTTCTCAGCGATTCGAATCGTTTTCCAACTTCGAAGCTGAGTCCATCGCGGACTCCGCCGGCGACTCGTCCCCTATCTTCGGCCACCGGTCGGATAATCAGGGCGACGACCTGCTCTCTTCTCATCAGGTTCCGGAAACTCCATCTCCGCCGTCGAATTTCTCGCCAAGCGGAGGATTCTCTGCTTTCTCGCCGGAACAGAACGGGAAGGGCTTTGATGGAGGTTTTGAGGAGTCGGAGGGCCCGATCCTGTCATCTCCGGCGGAGATGGAGCCGGAGGAGGGATTTCCTTTGAGAGAGTGGCGCAGGTGAGTTAACTGTGAAATTTCTTTCCGATTCGAAGGTTTTCGACTTCAGTTTTGAGATTATTCTGTGTTTCTTCACGTTTGAGCCATCGGCATCGTCGAGTCGAAGGCTCCTCTCTGAGATTAAACGGTTTTACTTATGAACTGAATTACAATTCCTCTTATGGATGAACACATGGAAGTAATTAGGGTTCGTTAAGCTGTGAATGACAGATTGAATGCGATTCGACTGGAAGAGAAGGAGAAGAGGGAGAAGGAGCTGTTGCAGGAGATAATCGATGAAGCCGATCAGTACAAAATTGACTTCTACAGGAGACGCAAGCTTGCTCTTGATAACAATAAAGCTTCAAATAGGGACAAGGAGAAGGTGAATGGCGATTTCTCCATTATATACAGAAATCTTCTCTTGTTCTTCTTTAACATCTGATGAAACACAAAATCAATACTATTTTCTGCGATTGTTGAATCGATTCTGCTAGCTAGTTTCTTGTGGTTGGGATTTAGATTTTCGCTTCATAATGTGTTCCCAACATGTTCTCATGCTTGAATTCGAAGCTTAACTAGGACATCCAACTAGAGAGGAGGGTGAACCAGTACCACTTCGATCCTTGAGACGATGGAAGCAGGTTAAGAAATACTTAATAGAATTTATAGTCACTACCTATATTAACAAGATATACCTCCCTTTTTGGTGGTCGAAATTCACTACCTATATTAACAAGATATACCTTCCTTTTTGGTGGTCGAAGCAATCCTCAGTTGGATGATCTCTTAGCTGATTTACTAGGGAGCATGTAAGTGAGAACAAAGTATGCTAGAAGTACTTAAGTTGGCCTTTAGGGATTCGCCTCTCTAAGTAGCTTAGATAAAAGACGATGACGCAGCTAAGTCGTAGAGGATGCAGGTGAGTGTCGGGACAATTAGGTTCCGAATTCTGGGCCTAGAGCATTACATTAACGCTTAACTATTACTTACTATCAATTGGGGAGGTAACGATATTTTAGAGACTTGAACTCAAGACTTCGAGAGTGTGGTGAGGTTGAATCCTAATATTTGCTAAGATTGTCTTTGTTTCTGGTGCATAGAGAGAATGAAAATGGATTTACAGAATCCCCCATTAATAATTTCTTCAATCTTAACCAGATTTGAACTTCATGTGACAGCAATATCTAGCAAACCGAGAGAAGTTCCACGCTGAAGCTGATAAGAACTATTGGAAGGCAATTGCAGAACTGATCCCCAATGAGGTTCCAACTATAGAACAGAAGGGGAAGAAAGACAAGGAGAAGAAGCCTGCCATTGTTGTTATTCAAGGTCCCAAGCCCGGGAAGCCGACCGATCTTTCGAGAATGCGTCAAATACATTTGAAGCTCAAACGCAATACCCCTCTTCACATGAGGCCCAAGCCACCACCATCATCAGAATCTAAAACAGATCCTAAAAGGGATTCTTCTTCTGCTGCTGCTGCTGCTGGCGCATCTTCGACTACTGGTTCGGGTTCTTCGAGTTCTGCTACTCCAAAGGCTGCTGCTGTTGCAACTTCTGCTGGTTGAGATCTCTCGGTATATATATTTTACTCCCTCTTATGTGTGTTCTAAAACAAATTAGCCATCCCATGGATCAGGATGTGTCTAATGATAGTCAGTTATAGCAAATAAATCACTCTGAGAAATCTTGAAATCTTTCTGGTTAGAGCCCAAAAGGCTACAAAAATCCTAATCCGGGCCCCATTTTGGTGGATCATTGTATATGGATGGTTGTCACTGCTTGAGTTTTTCTTTTGTTTTGTGAATATTTATGCTGTGTTTTTTCTATGCCATTCAACCGATGGAGTAGAATTAGTACATTTGTGCATATTGTAGAACTTGGAAGTTTGGAAGGTTGATGAGATGAAGGCCAGACATTTGGCATGAATGATAAAAATTTAGGTTAAAAAATACTTTTTGGTCCTTTAATTTTTAATTTTATAATAACGATTTAGTCTCTTAATTTAGTTTGTAATCGTTTTATCCTCAGTAAGAATTTGGTTTCTTAACTCTATGCAACAATTTAGTCTTTATTGTGTAAAATCTCATCAAAATTAGGTGTCATTTTTTTTAAGTAAAGAGTGTTTGTAGTTTATTAATGTATTTGGTCCCTCGTCAAATTAATTAATTAATTATATATATATAAAAGATAATAAAAAAATCTCTATTAAATCTTAACAACGTTTTCAAGATAGAAATTAAATTGTTACAATTTTGAAGCTAAAAAACTAAGTTGTTGTGTATTAAAGTACTAACAATTTTTTTTTCCAATTTATTTTCAACCTCGCCAAATTTTGAACCAAAAAAAATGTAATTTTTTATTTCTTATTTTTGGAATTGGACTAAAATTGAAGAATCATTTTAGAAAAGGGAAAAGTTAAACAAAGAAAACATTGGTTTGATATTTGACATGTATTTTACAATTCATCGAGGAACAAAGTAAATACTCAATTCATCTTCCTTTGTAAAATTATTATTATTTTTTTTTTCCTTTGTAAAATTATTATTATTATTATTATTATTTTTCCTTTGTAAAATTATTAAAAATATAGAATTTTAACACACGCTTTTTTAAAATATAAAAATAGAATTATAAAACAGAAAGTTAATTCGTCGTTTGAAGCCATAAAATGGAGATTCCTACAACAATATCATCTGAAGGAGCTCTTCAAATTCCGAATCTAGAATACATTTCCTTTTCTTCAGAACACTGATAAATCATAGATTTACCGTAATTTTTTTCTTTTTCATATTTTTTTTAGTTTAACAACTAATATGTATTTTGCTTTCCTACGACCACCTCCTTAGAATAGATCCATAAGTTGTACTGCTAAAAAATGCAGCCTGTAGGACTTGGAAATGTCACGTACCTTGCAGGCCAGGAAAAGAGAAGTTCCCTACGACGACATCGTCTCCACCGCAAGGTCATCGTTATCTTCGGTTTCACTGCCATCTAAACGAATGGAACTACTCCATGCGCTTGGTGCAGAACTGCCATTGCTGCTTGTAGCAAGGGGAGAGTCTGCAACTCCAATCGTTCCGAATTTTATGGATCTCGAATTGGCATTGTCCATGGAGGAAGCCTGAGTTTTTGTAACCACTGGACGTACTTTACCTGATAAGCTTCGTGTAATGTCCTGTATTGGTAAAATCATGATTAGATAACGTACTAATTAACCATATTCAAGAAATGCAACAGAGGGTGAGAGGATGTGTACCATGTGCCTCAAAGCCATATCTAGTGATTTGTTTGAAAGTGTCCTTCCGAAGCCAGAGGTGTCAGCAGAGGGCTTGCTGGCAGGATCACCATTGCTTGAGCGGTGGTCGCCTTGCTTCGGAGGGGCGAGCTTTCTCATGTTCACTACCCTTTCAACCATCTTTGTTCCCATAACCACCGGACTAACCTCATTATCATCTGAGGAACGTATTCTTTGTTTGAATGGAAATATTGTACCACTGGTTCCGTTGGAGGCAAGTTGCTTTGATGGAGAGCTTGGTTTCTGCCTAGTTTTTCCATTAGACATTGTCCTACCGGATGATGGTTTAGCACTACTACTGGCTGCAACTGGCCTTCCCTTGGTGGCTGAAGCTGGCCTTTCTGGTAATGGATGTGCTGCTGCATCAAGTGGGAAATTAGGCACCTCAGAGGGTTTTGAAGGTCTGGGTTTAATGGATGGAAAGGTGCCCCGTGAAGGCCTTGGATTACTAGAACTTCTAGCATTGAATTTCGAGGTCGAAGAAGATCGGCCCGTGGGACGTGATACGATAGATGGACATGTTGGCTTTGATGGGCAACGATTAGGCGTTGCTGATCTTGATGTTTGCTTTGAAGCTGACACAGATCTTTCAATTGGTGTTGACAACCGAGCAGTAGCTTTTCCGGGAGTCGAAGATCTCGCCGGAGGCACTGCAGCTTTAACGGAAGCCAAGCTGACTCGGGAAGTTGGCGTGGCTGATCTCGAAGGCTTTGTACTCTTAGATAATGTAGGCCGTGAAGTTGGGGTTGCAGATCTGGAAGCAGTGGCTGCAGAAGCCTTTGATGAGGGCCTTTTGTCGCTAGCACATGAAGAATTCAGTTGTTGTCCAGACTGTAAATTTGGATGATGCTTGGATGCTATGTTACTCACCGAGTCAGATTCTTCCTGAATGTTTACTAGCTGCAACCCAAGGTGTAAAAATTATGAAATGAAAATTGGGAAAGTTGGGAAGGATGAGTTTGAACAGTAGCAAATCCAATCAACAGCTTATTATCTACAGATCTGCAGAAGAAAGTCTGGAGGAATCTGATTTTCCAACCATCCGCATTCATGGATGAGTATACAATTTGCAGTTATTCATACGTTATGCCTAAATTTCTAGAGAGCTCTTACCCTAGGTTTTAGAGCAGTGGAACGAGAATTCGGCGTATCATTCTTATTTGTTGAATTTTTCTGTGATTCCGTCTCCATTGATGGAAAGAGTGGGGTGCCAGGTGGTGTAAGAAGCCTGAGATACAGAAGAGATTGCAATAAAGATACAGTGAAGAGTTATGATATAATCTATTTTAGACATAAGTTCACTTGATTTTGTTTTTAGTTTCACCGAAAGAAGTATCGAAACTAATAGAGATGATGATTTTTCCTTTTATCTGCACATTCCCAATAACGTTACCCAGCTAAAAGTTAAAAAGGAGCTGCTGATATTTCCGTTGAAATTAGCGAAGAAATTCAAATGTCACTTTCTTCATTTGAAACGTTCAAGTTTTTTTTGAAACAAAATGGCTGATGAAAGCGATTATCCCGTTGAAAAGCCTTTAAATAAAAGTAAAAGGGAAGTACACAATATATATGGGGGAAAGAAAAAAAGCAAAGGTGGACAGAGCTCTGTTTTATTCTCCAGAAAAGAAGAAAAGAGAATGATAACGTTAAGGAGCAAAATGACTTTCATGTGCCGTATTTTGTCTTTTCAAATATTTCATTCCGCTTTAGTGAGTAAAATGAAAGGGAATCTTGGTGCCAATGACGACGTATTATAACGACATGTAGAAGAAGAAAACAAGAACCAGGCGCATTATTTAGGTCCGAGTAGGACCCGAAAACTCAATGAGGTACTGTTTACATCCCAACGCTAAATGAATCCGTGAAATTATTTGAAAACCGTCCGTTAATGAACAACTAACTTGCGATTCTAATGAATCAATACAACTCTGAAATTGGATGTTTGATCATGATGATGATGGTTCCTAATTAAATTTCATACTATAACGAATCAAAAGGGAAAGCTAATTCTTCACTGAGATATGAGCTGCTGTAAGCATAAAATCAGAGCTAATGCTTGTTTACTTACCAGTCGTAATCAGATTTTTCATTTTCTGAATCCATAAAGTCCTCCGTTCTGGTCTTCCGCGGTGGAACAGATGATGCGTTCTTGGAGATAGGTGAGCATCCACCATTATTATTAAGTTCTACAGTTAACGCATCAGAAAACAGTGCGAAAGCTTTCAAAAAGCTGATTGAAAAGAAACTTCAAAAATTTTGAACTATTAGAGAGAATTTCAAAAATGCAGGGGAAAAAATGACCGACCGGAACAGGAAAATGAAACGATTTCTGAATTAGGATCAAGATCCTCTGAATAGCTCCGATGTAGCAGATTATCACTATCAATCTCCTTCTCAACCGTTCGCAAATCAAGCAACATTGCGAGCTCTCCCTCCGTCGCGTTCCCGAACATTCCAGAAGTTCCTACTAACAGCAAACGAAAGTACGATTCCGTCGTCTTTTCTTCCAAACTCAGGTCCGAATCTGATCATTGATCACAAACCTTCCGTCAAGAAGAACAAGCCAAGCCGCAGGTCAAAACAAAAAAAAAAATGAAAATCGCAAAGAAACTCAACTCCTCCCATCTACATTGACGAGACAAACAGATCTAACTAAAAATCAAGGAGTGGAATACAAGAGGCTTAATTATAATCAGAGACTAATTACTTCTCATGATTCACTCCGATTGGAGAACGACGATTACCATTTCTCGGCGGCGGCGATGCTCCGGTGGAGATTGAATGAGAGGACAGCGTAGCCGGTCGAGAGGGAGGGATTGAGAGCAGGAAAATGGGAGCAGAGGCAAGGGAATGGAGAGGTGAAGAATTGGTTTTGGGAGATTTGCGAAGAACTTGTTTTCTTTGTCTTCCTCCTTGGTATTTGATTTGTCAAAGTTTTTTCAGTATCTCACTAACTCGGCGCTCCTCCCATGTGGCCGCTCAGATTATTATAAAATATTAAAATTGAAATAAATAGCATGATTTTGAATTATTTTGCTACGCGTACGTGGAAACATAATAATAAAACAAAATTCTCAATACTATTTTTGGTTTTTTTTTTAATTTTATTTATCAAAACATCTATTTTGGTGTTCGTATTTTTTAAAGGGATTGATTTAGTCTTTATAAGCAAAATTTTAACATAAATTTTATACTCATTCAAAACTTTTTTTTAATACAAATTTATGGATATATTTCAAACATTTTAGAAGTGTCATGCTAAAATAATGATAGAAAAATATGAGCTATAAATTGAAATGAAGATACTAAAATAGATATTTTGAAACTACAATTTAAAACTACATAAACCAAAATGAACCAAAGTCAAAACTTCATGGACCGAAATAGTACTTAAACCTAATAATAATAATAATAATAATTAAATTACAAGTTTATTCTCAAACATTTAGAGTTTGGTCTAATTAAGTCATGTAATTTTACAAAGTGTCCAAATAAGTACCTAAACTTTCAATCTCATGTTTTTAAAAAATGTCTAATAAATTTCTAAATTTTAATTTTTTTTTGTGTAATATATTTATTAGACATTAAAAGAAAGTTAAAACCAATTTGCCAGACTTATTAGATACAAAATTGAAATTTCAAAACCTATATCTAATTTAACCTAATAATAATGTCATATTAAAAAAGAAAAAAAAAAGCATGTACCCCTTTTTGCATGGATTATTGATCATATATATAATAGTATGCTTGGTAAATGTTCGACATTTTTAAAATTTAAGGATGTAATTTGGAAAATATGCAAATTAAAAGGTGTAAAAAAAAAGTTATTTGAGAAAAAGATGAAAATTGATAAATATCAGTTGGGGGGATTTATTATAGAGAAGGCTAAAATTAGAATGTACAATTCAAATTACCTTCTAAAAGGAAGTTATATTTTAGTGGTAAGAATATGGTTTTGTGCTAATCCAAATATATAAAATAAAAATTTCAAGTACATCCAAATATTGAAACCTCAATTCCAAGCTTCTAAAATTTTCTAAATTTGCATAGCAAATGCCCCATGAATGATCAAACACTTTTGACCATACTCAAAAATTTCTATTAAAGTCAATCCAAGCATTTTCTTTTCTTAATTTCTAAATTTAGATAATAATGTATTTTAAAATTTGACCAAATTAAACCTCAATAATACGTTTTTTCCCTTAAAATTTAAGAGAAAAATGCTAACTAAAAAAATAGACAAGACCCCGACAAATAAACTAAGTGAACATAATTTAGATATACAATTTTACCGAAGGACTAAATTCAAACAATTTTATCTCTTCATTTTTCAATTTATATCTTTCTTTTTTTAGTATAACATGTCGGGAAAGAGATTTGATTAATGAATTTTAACAATTAAAATTACAAGATTAATAATAAATTTAAAAAAGTGATACATATTTTAGGGAGAGAAAAAATTGTATGACATAAATAAATAGCAATAGGCAGATGATAGAGTCATGGAAGTAATTTCTCCGGAAGGAATTCAAACTTGGGGGGCCATTCAAAGGAAAGCAAAGAATGCTCAGATTTAAACGTGGGCTGTTGGATTCCTCGGGATGAAGCAAACTTCACGATCCGACGGCGGTTATTTCGTCTGATGAATATTTAAAATTAATGTGCCTCGGAAATCGTGTGGTTTTCAAATTGGGACTTTGCCTCCTTCCTTCATCGCGTGGACCCCACTTCTGAATTATGGAAGTTTTCAGTTGGAATGATTGGTACAAATCATTAAATATATACAATTTATTTATTTATATATATAATTGTGAAAATGCTTCAAGTTTAAAGCCTCTTCCACTTATGGGATAATCATAATCTAATAATTTTGCTCTTAATTAAAACTTTGAATAAGGGTTGTTTTTTCGAGAAAAAACTTTGAATAAGGGTTGAGAGTTGTGTTACAACTTACAAGTTTGATCACATATTCTAAAACAAATTATTTTCTTTTTCTTTTCATAAAATAATTATTGGCAATTAATTTATTCGTTGGGTAAACTATATGTTAAAAATACTTTCAACATCCTATATTTAGATTTTTTTAAAAAAAATTATATTTTTAAATTTGATCCTCAGCTTTTGATTAAAAATCGTTCATTCAAAATTTTCGGTAATATATATGTTGGTGATAAATCTTGTTTCTTATTAGAAAGTACAAAAAAAGCCTATGTCCCACGAAAAATTCGATGTTTATACGCTTCTTTGTCAGGATATTAGTTGCACGCTAATTTTCCTTTCAAACTTGCAAAACACATGATTCTTGAACTTGTTGATTATTTATTCTTTTCATGTAAAAAATATATATTGATTCACATTCAAATTCTTTTGATAGTCTTGACATTTCAAATTTCAAAAGCTTCAGTGTCTTGATGAAGTCATTGTTGAAATATTAATTTTGTTTCCAACTAAAATCATATCAAAAGATAAATTTGGAAGGAAAAAAAATATTCGAGACAATATTAGGTAAATTAACTTTTAATATTATGTCTAATGGATTTCTAAACTTACGTCTAATATGTCTTTGAAATCTTCTGAATTTTATTTAATAGGCACCCAATTTTACGTCTAAAGAGATTTATAAAATACAATATTAAAACTCCATGAACCTATTAAATTTCACTCAAGTACCAAACTTAAACTGAGCATAGACAATTAGTTCTGTAAGGAATGATGAGATGATCCCAATAGTCATTTAAAATGCACAGAGAGACAAAATCTGTAAAATTGAATTAGAAGGGGGCATTCTATTGTTCATCCAACGTCATAAAATTTGATTATGTTAATTTCAACTGAAGTCAAAATGACTGGAAAATAAAAATTTGAAGAATGGGACTGTTCTTGTGCTACCAGCTAAAACTGCAGGGGCAGTGTACCAAAGCTTTAGAAAGAGCTAAATTGCAAAAAGATGAAACAAGAAAGTGGTTGAGAAGAATGTACAGATGAAAATGGTTTTATTTACTTCAAAACTTGACATCGGATCAAGCATCGTCGCCATCGCTCCCTGCAAGCTGCAGATCATGACTTGCTATGTAACCGCTTCCATCAGGACTCAACACCTTGAACCTGCAAAATTATTTCCAAAGAAGCAAAACGGAGTCGAGAATTATGTTCTGGTCGAAAAATATATAAAGGGGAAAACTCTTCGCATCAGTATTTACACAAACATTGGATGTATCAGAACTTGGAGATGGGAAATTCAAAATAGTATTCAATATTCAAAATTGTGTAATGACTTTGGTAGTTGACCAAGATCATTCCTTCCTGATGTTCATGCGCAGCTTAAAATCAAACTATATAACAGAGAGATGTGGAGAATGTTATCGATAAATCAAATTTTCATCCTGGTTTCCAACTATATAACAGAGAGATGTGGAGAATGTTATCGATAAATCAAATTTTCATCCTGGTTTCCAAGATTTATAATGTGAAAACTACAAAGTATAGTGGCCTGAGCCTCACATTTCAAGGATAAATTTCCCTTCCTTGTACTTCTGGGATTTGTCATAGGCAAAGTCCTGGAATTACCAGGGATGTATTAGGAAACAATTTGGGAAAATCAGGAGGTAAAAAGAAGGAAGAAAGAAAAAGAAAATAAGATCTTACATATTTCCAGCCAAGAATTGAGCCACAACCAACACAAAATATGTCAACAACAGTGTGCAATCCTGTGATCATCATCCGCTCTTCTTGTTCTCCAATCGTGACATTAACACTGCCATGCATTATGAAAATCAAAATGTTAACCGAAGGTATGATGAGTATGGCACTAGCCAGTATGGATCACTACACGGCTGCCTACGAAATAAAGACCGTTTGAAGTGCCGATCTAATTCTTATGTGAACATTGTCCACAAGGGTTCAGAAACAAAATCTAACGGGCGAAACATGTCTAGTCAGATACCAGGGATCATTTTTCATTCTAAAGATCGAGCTTTTATATGGGGCAGCAGTTAGTTAATTTTTCATACTAACTACTAAGAAAGGCCCATACCCCATTCCTGCAGGAAGGATTTCAATTATGACAAGGCAAGCGCAAATCATAGAAAGCTATAAGTATACGCATAGGAAGATATAGGCAACTACTTCCATGATCTAAAGCAGCGGTAATATTCTTGTTCCAGCAATTAGCTTAACAAAGGACAGTGAAGCCATCTAAATAAAGTTCAAAATTCAAATAGAAAAAGTTTGATTTAAAATAGGACCATTCTATTCATGCCAATATTTTTCTTCTTTTCTTTCTTTTTAGTAGGTCCTGCCAATCAGATGAATCTAAATGCCTACGTATCTGTGACTCCGATATTTTTTAATATCTGTGAGTGTTCTCGAGCTTGCTTGCACAAACTTCAATTAATCTTAAATTTTAAGAAACAACAGTATGACCTTGTAAGATATTAGTATCCTAGCCACTCTGAGGTTTGAACCAATTACCTCTAAATCTCTTTATTTCCTTACTTACCTTCATTGCCGAGAAATGAATATAAAGGTCAAAGAGTGATCTTTGAATGTTACTATGCATCCTTCAAAATAGTCTCGTGTAAGGTAGGTTTGGGTATAGCCAGACTTAAACCTGCAACCATTAGGTTAAAGCCCAATGCTCTACCAACTAAGCTATAGGCCAATCCATGGTAGTTGAACTCGAAACATAATCATAAAGGTGAAAATGTAATACTCACACGTTATCAAACAAATATGCCCTTCCATGCCTGCAGTGAAAAGTCTGAAACAAAATCAAAGCAGAATTATATTAGTATATCCATGTATATTTCTGATGCTATTAACAGATGTGGAAAAAAGGAATAGGGGAGTGAATTTAAATGAGAAAAAGAAAATCCTTGGGAACAAATTCTTTTATGATGTTAGGAAGTAGTCGTGATATTGAGAAAGCCTTGCATCTCTCTTAAATGGTATGGGATTCACTGGCACAAATAGGGCCTTTAGCATCTTAATCTTAAATATCAAAAAGGTAAAAACTGGAAGTACGAGTAACAATACATATAAATGAGCCTTTCTCGAAATAAGGAACAATCTAATACATGACATGAAAATGCCAATTCTGAGATTGACAAACTATTTTATACAATAAACACAGATTCTGATGGCGCCTCAGTAGAGCCACATGAGGATCCTATTGCATGTGAAAGCAGAAAAGTCCACAAAGTACCAAACATATTCATCAGCCAAAAGTCTTAAATTCATACCACCCATATAACTAAAATAACTTAGAATTGACATGATATAATAAGGATGGATGGAGCCTTCAGAAAAAAAAAAAAAAGAAAGAAACATTGTACAAGGAAATCGTATAAATACTTGAATGAATGAGCATTCAGTTACATTCCTTATTAGAGCTAATCAAACACCTGATATTTCTGATAAGTATGGTAAAATCAATGACCATCTGAGCAAGGATTTACCACATTAACGCTTCAAAACAAATTCCACCCTTAAATCTATCGATCAAATATGTGGTTATGTAAGTCACTCAACGAATGAACAACTTATTTAGCAATGAAACGAGATACTTCAATTCAGGAAGCAGTATTTTGGGACTCATACAACACAAATTAAGCAATTCAAGCAAAAAGTCAAGACAGGATTAGGGATTAAAACAAGAACAACTTTCTCAATTCTCAGAATTCCTAGTTTTTAAATTTAAACTAAAAGTTCAAGGACCTTTCAATAGCGAGGTATCAAAATTCGCAATACGCATGCGTGGTCCCAAAGCAATAAATACTTTTTCCTAAATCAAACTTTTAGTGTACTAATGATTCTTCCTCTTCTAGAGACCGATTTCCTTTTACTAAACCGAAACAAACACTCTTAATAAATAGTTCCTCTCCTCATGCACCTTACTGTTAAACCTCCATCAAACAACTCAATAAGAGAATTAACAAACTGCAACAAGATATCAGCAGAACAGAAACTTGTGCGCTACTCAAATTTTCATGTGGCATCGAGGAATAGGATTAAATACCTTTGAAATTATGTCTTTCGAAAGGGCAAGGTGAATTTTACAGTGTTTGCAACTATAAACGTTTCCTTCCAGAGTAATCAGAAATAGCCTTCCCATCTCTTCTCCCTGCAGCAATATCTCTACCTATCCTCGATTTCCTTCCCTGAAGTAGAACAAAATCAGCTTCCGTGGAAGAGAGCAAAAAAAAAAAAGACATGAATCGGAAAACAATAATGATCGGCCGTACAATGCTAATGCTGGGAAGGCGGAAACTGAGGAAGCGAACCGAGAATCGGATTATCGTCGCCGGCAGTCACAGAAGTCCGGGGAACAGCATTCCGATGGTATCGATCAAAGAAAATGAAGAAACAAAATTGGAAAAAAGTGCGATCAATACTCAATAGAATACCAGTATTTATAAAACCGAAAAAGTGTGCGATTTTGTTTTTTGTTTTTTGTTTTTTTTTTTTAAGTACAAAAGTGTGATAAATTGGAATTTCATGTTCAATTAGAACTCTTTTATGTAACACTTCTCGATTTTCATACTTTAGATTTTTTGCTTTTAAATTTTTTTTTTGTATTTGTAGTTGATTAATTTTTAAAATATTTTGAAGTAAAAAAAATTAAAAAAAAATTAAATTAATTTTTTTTAGGCAAAGGAAAAATATTATCTTTTATAATAAATTAAGATAGTTTTTATTTTGAAATATATGATTTTTTGTGAAATTGTTTTCAAATTAAACTTTTCGTTTTTTATTATCAAATTATGAGTAGTTGACTTATAAAATCAGTATAATGGAGTTATCTTATCATTCACAAGTTCACGATCATAAAAGAAATAGTAACTTTTATCTTAAAAATAAATAATAATAAAAGAAATAGTAATTTGTTTGTTAATAAATAAATAAATAAAACAAGTCATCCACGAGAATACGTTGAAGAACAAAATAATTATCAAAACATACTTTGACTAAATATTTATTTTTAAAAAATATAAAATTGGTACGAAAACAAATTCAAACCCTTAACTCAATCAAATCAAATCAATTCATATTTGACCTTTTTTGTTTGTTTGTTACGTTTGTTAGTTGATTCTTTTTGGGTGATTTAAAAAATATTTTAGGTTAAATTCATGATTTTCCATCTTTCAACAACTTGTTTTTATTTTAGTTTTTAAACTTATAAACATTTATTTCAGTCACTAAAGACTCTCATTTGTAAATATATAATAGCTTATAACGCATAAATCACATTTTTATCACTTTATAGTTTTTTTTTTTTAATTTTACACGCACATGGTAGTTGAGATTCGTACAACATAAACTAAAATATGAAATTTAGTAGAGATTAAAGATATAAATTTGAAATTCTATAGTTTAAATGTTAAGAAATTAGTAACTAATTACAAACCACGACATGAACATGGTAGTGATGCATTATTTTCTCAAAATCTAAGACACGTACATGACAAAGACACGTCTATTAAAATATACAATTTTGTTTCGGAAGTAAATTCAAAGTCAATAAGCTTATGATTTTTATGTTTAAAAAAACGAGTTTTATGTATTTTACTGATCTCAATCTATTATTTTGTCCTATATTACTATTTATGTCTATTTCTTACGTTTAACAAGTGTTTGATCTGTGTCGAATGAGTGTCTAGTCCATATTCAATTAGTACCACTAACGTGTGACACGCATTTATTAGGTTAACAAATATTTGATAATATATCCAACAAGTTTTAGAGTGTCCGACACGTATCTGTAGTTCTTGTAAGCTAGTAAATAAGAAGAGATCAAATGGAAAATTAATTAAAATTGGTCTCATCTTATCATTAAATTGGCCTTCCCAACCCAAATGCTAAAATTAGTATTTGAACTCAGACTGAGTTGGCTCAATATTTAAATGCTAACCTTGTGACCAAGGTATGAGAATTGAGTTTGAAAAAATCTATTAAACAATTATTTTTTATTTTAAAAAAAGATTATAGTAAATAATTACTTAAAGTGTTTAAAATGTTATATTTCATAAGATAAAAATTAATATTATACTAGTAATTCAATGTAAAAAATGTAATGAAAATTTACAAATACTACTTAGTAAATATTTGACGGCTATTATTTAAAAAAAATAAATCTATCATCACTTCATTTATATATTCCATTCCCTTTCATAGTGTAAAAAATATAATAGTGGTCTTTGTCAAAAAAAAAAAATAATAATAATAATAAAATAGTGGTCAGACAATAGATAGCGTGCTTTAAACAACTTTTATTTACTAATAACTAAAAGTATAATAGAATCGAAGTTTAACCATAAATAAGGTAACATAGATTGTTAAAAAGAAAAAAAGAAAAAGCAACATAGATAATTTATTATTTAAAAAATAGGATAAATATATATTTTAGTCTCTATAGAGGATTTTTATAATTTAGTGTTTATTATTTTAAAAGTTTGAATTTAATCTCTTATATTTTTCATAACATAATAGTTGATGAAATAGTAAAAATTTAGAAAGAAAAATGGGCTAGAGAGGAAAAAAACTTATATTTTTTGTCCCACCAAATAAAGACGAAATATATGTATCCAATATTGTGTAAGCCGACTACAACCACAGACTTCTCTGGCCACTGTTATTTAGGTGGTATCACCAGATCAAATTCTTCCCAACAACACATGAAAGAGAGATATAAACTAGGACAATAGATATGGGAAAGAGATGGTTCTAATTCGTTCAAATCCAAAACCCTTTTCTACGTCATATTACTCATAACAACAGCAAATCAACCTCTACCACTTTCTTAGAAATTTGTAGAAAGATTTAGAAACTTAATTATCACTCATAAAATATCTTTTTCCTCCTCAAATATTAATTAGGCGACATAATTTTAACATTTATAGCTGATTAAAACATAAGAAATAAATGAAATTAACTAGTTCTTGTTTTTGTTTTGTTTGTGGTAAGCGTAACTAATAAAAAATAATTTCAGATACGAACTTTCGAACGAGAGTAGTTACACCTCATCATGACATAATAGTGGGTAAAGTTTTTACAAACAGAAGATGAGATCATAGGAAGGAGGAGGAGCTTAAGAAGAAGAAGAAAAGGAATCGATAATGGTGGTGTGGAGCGGGTCGCTGAGATGGGTCGCCCAGTTGTTGAGCGGGCCTTTGCCGGTAACGGCGGCTTGGACGGCGAAGCCGAGGAATGCGACCATGGCGAGGCGGGCGTGCTTGATCTCCGCCAGTTGGAGGACGGCCTTCTTCTCCGGGTCCTCCGCCAGCCCCAGCGGGTCGAAAAACTTGCCTCCCGGGTACAGCCTCTTCTCCGGGTCAAGCTCCGCGTTCCTCTGGAACTCGATGTACCCGATCACTAGAACTTCGATCCAGATCAGCGTCGTGATCGAGAATGGAAGTGGCTGCCCCAAGTACGACGAACCTTCCACCAATTCCACCTGTCCATTTTTATTATCMGTGAGTGATCGGATCAATTTCATCCTACACCTTACCCCGACTAAAAATTAGTTATTAATTTAATTAGTAATGATTTTGTTGGCAATGGTTTTATCCGTGCTTTTAAATTTGTAACAATTTAATTTTTAATTCTAATAATTTAGTCACCCAAGTCTAAAAATTGTGAAAACTGTTGTTTTATACAATCGGACCAAATATATTCATAAATTATCAAATCAAATTATTCTGTATAATAAAAATTGACTATGATTTTTTTTATTAGGTAAAGGAAAAATGAGATGGTCTGACCGCTAAATTATGCTCATCACAGTAAATTGTCTACTTTATTTTATGAGAATGTTGCAGCAGAAAATACATATATTAAATATGTTATCATGTATATTTCTTTAAATACATATATTTACTAAACTTTTTTTTTAAAACAAAAGATAACCAAGAGCTAATACAGATGGAAACTTAAATTATAAAAAATTATCCCTTTATCAATATTCATTAAATTTCATTCTCCATTTGTTAAATCTATTGATATATGTGGTCGGATGGCTAACAAAATTACAAAATTCTATTAGACAAAATTAAGAATATAGGGAGTTAACATTTAACAAATATTAAAGGTTAAGGACAATATTGAAATTTAACCTTAAATAAATACGACAATGCTAAGATAGTATTTAACGAAAATTGATATATTTAAACGAGCTAAAAAAAAGTTTAACACATTTAAACGAATAATGGATAAAAAAAATAATAAAAAGAACTGACCTTTCCGGCGTCTTGCCAGGTGACGCCAGTGAGCCACTCAACAGAGAGAGCGCCGAGCGTGGCCAGCATGGCCCACCTTCCATGGATCAGTTCGCACTCACGGAACCTCTGCAATCCGAAAACTTCCGTGTACGGCTGAAACGGCGTCGATTTCACATCAGAGTTCTCGAATCGCGTTCCGATTATATCTCCGGCCACATTCTTCGCCAAGTTCTGGTCCAACGAGTCCAAATCGTACTGCAGATACTCCGCCGGTTTTCCCAATCCGAACGGATCGAAGCCGTAGTCGCCGACTAAGCTTCCGTCCAGCCACTCCGGCGCCTTGGCGCCGGGGAACCACAGCGGCCGATCGGAAATCTGCTTCGACGATTTCTTTGGCGCGGTTTTCTTTTTCCCGAACGAGAATCGGGCTTGGACTCGGCCAGAGCTCGGCCGCACGTCGGGGAGGCGCGTTCCGATGAAGGAGGAGGTTGCGGCGGCGGTGGCGGTGGCGGCGGCCATTACGACGGAGATGAGTTGAAAGGGGAAATGAGAGTGTGAGGTGAACTGGGGATTTGGTTGGGTTATTATGTGGTCTAGAAGGGGGAGTTGTGATCGGCGATTGCCACATAATCTGTTGTGTTGAGTTTACGTCCGTTGGATTATGAGACGAATCCATCTGACGGCTTGTGTGCCTCCAGGCCTTATCTCTGCCTTATCCCATAGTACAGGAACGGTGGGGTCGAAGCGTCGACGTTTCACTCGATTTTGTTTGTGAAGTTTGTGGTTGAGGTTTCTCATCGGCCGAAAATCTTTGATATTTTACCATAGGAATTAAATAAAGCTTTGTTTCGTTAAATATAAATATATATACACTATAAAACTATAAAAGTAACCTTTTTTTTTCCTTCAACAACTTGGATATAGGAATCAAACTTCTACTTTTGAGAAAGACGTACGTAACAATTATCAATGAGTTATGTTCATGTTGGTAAAATTATAAAAATAATTTTAAACATAATGCTAAGACTCATTAATCATTAATCTGACATAATAACGAAAATGATAAGTTTGGTTTTAGACTTGTTCTAAAAAATCAATCAAATTGTACATGTTTGAAGTTCAAGTAAGAAGATATAGGCAATGACATTTGAGGGTAAGGCAGCGACAACCACTTGGGTCGCGAGCACCATACTATACTTGAGATGGGCTTAAAATCTTCTATGTCAAACGAAGAATGAAAAACATAATTTGGATCAAGATGAATCACAAAAGGAACCCACATTTTTTCCTTTTTTCTCTCTCTGGTATGGCGCTCTGCAAAAGAGCACTATCCAATGAGTGGAGTAAAAACAAAGCCAAAACAAGAGATTTTTCTTTTTTTTTTGTTTGGTGTATTGTTTCACTTAACTATTCTAAATTTCTTGTTTCTATAACACAAAGGTAAAATATATTTTTGTTTTAGGACTTGAGTTAGATGTCTATTTGGTCTCTGAATTTTTAAAATCTATATTTTTATTCTTGAGATTTGGAAAAAAAGTTTTAAATAGTCTCTTATTGTTAGTCGATATGAAAATTAACTTGCTAACTAGATTTGCTAATGTAAACTTTTTGATGAGTTGGCAAAATTTTTGTTCACGCTAGCGTATCGTATTTCCATTAGTCAACTATGACTATTTATCTACTATATTTATGGGACTTCAATCACAAGTTGACCATATATACATATATATATATCAAATAAATGAATAAAAAGATACGTTTGTGTTAAATAATTAATTTTTAGAAATAAATATATCAATGACTAAAATAGTATTTTAGGTAAAGTTCCGAACAAAATGGACAATATTTAAAAGTTCAAAAATTAAAATGGAATAAATCATAATTACCATTAGATTGATCTAATGGTATTGAGGAGCATATAGAGAGAGAGAAAAGAAAGTAAATAGACTTTGGAAGAATAAGTTTTGAATCTTGAAATTAACTTGTTTGTAGGATCCGGGGAGATTTAGAGGTCGTTTGGTTCAAGATTTTAAAAAGATTACCTGTGAATCCTGGAATAAGATACCCAAAGATACCTATGTTTGGTTATGATGATATCAGAATCTACTTTCAACAATTAATTTACATTAACTAATTTTAAATAATTAATTATTGTTAGACAATCACTTTTTATTAGAGCAAATTACTCAAAATAATTTGAAAAAATTTAATTTTACATTAGTATAATTATTATAAGTAATATATATATATTTATTTATTTGGTTTAGAAATAAATCTTAAAATAAAATAAAAAAATTTAACAATTTTATTTAGAATCTTTTAATTGTACATCAATGAAGAATTAATAATCAATACTATATTTCATAAGTATAAGCATTTTAACGTTTTCTAAACGGAGTAATTTTTTGTGTTTAGTGGATGTTTTCATTCTCAAGTGGTTGAACAGAATTTTACAACCATTTGTCTTGAACATTTTCATGGGTTAAGCGAGTTCTTATAAAGTGGTTGTCTCGTATAAAAAAAAATTGTCCGAAAATAACCAAAAGAACAAAGGAAAAGATAATAGCATATAATAAATTTCATCTCAAATTAAAATAAYAAATACAAAAAGAAGAACAGAGGAAGAGAAATAAAAAAAAAACCAAAACAAATAGCAGTGTAAAAATGATTGATGAGGAAAAAGAAATTTCAAACCTACATGACGAGAGAACTGAAAAGTTGTTGCAGAAGAGAGAAAAATATGATTTTATGAGAGGGAGAAATATGATTTTATGAGAGAAGGTTTTTCAACAAACTCACCATTTTCCACAGGTTTTGTTATCTTTGATTTAGCGATGTTGGGAAAAGAGTAGTCCCAGGCAAACAAATTATAATCCTCCAACCAAACGTGGACTTTATATGCCTAAGTCCATTCCCACCCTTAAAACCTTGAATCAAATGGCCCTTTAGGGTTATTAATGACAGTGTTGAGCAAACGGGCAGACACAATTTTTGGGTGAAAACTAACTTTAAACTCATACCTATTTAATTTAAAATAGGTAATATTATACCATTATATCTATAATAAGCTTTAAACTCCTTTCTCTTTTGACTGTGTAATAAGCTTCCAAACTTATGGAACCTATATGCGGTTCATAATATAAGCAAAAAAAGCCTTTTCGATAATGTCAATTCTCAGCTAATTTGAACCTAATTCAATGGATAAAACACTTTATTACCTTCCATAAGATTAATAGTTTGATCTCTTGAATTAAAAAAAACTACTTCGATCATAATTTGCAACAAATAGAATATCCCTCTTCTTTTAATGGATTGATTTATTTTCTTTTAAATATAATTTCCAATATCAAGACATGAAAGTTATGTCAATGATTTTGATCAGACATGATAAAGATATTTAGGGTACATTTGGTTGGTGATCTCAAAATAAGTGATTCAATAAAAAATATATTAGTGTATTCTATGTTTTTCAGTATTTTTAAATATATGTTTGGTAGTAGATTTGTAAATTAGAACTCAATTTAAAAAATTGTTCAAGTTGTGTTTAATAATATATTTATAAATTAATAGTAGTTACAACTAAATCTAAAATATTATTAATTAATTAATAAACATATGTTAAAATTTTTGTATAACAAAAATAAAATGAGTTTATAACATTAATGCATTTATGAATGATTTTACATTTTATAATGTAATTATACATTTTAAAGTTTCAAACTCAAAACCATTGAAAACATAAAATTTTGTTTTATAGTTTAATATTAATTCAAGGGCATTTTGTGGCATTTTGCTATAGGTTCACTCATAAAATTTCCAGGAGCCCGAGCGCAATCAAGAGACATATATGTTTTGAGATATATTTACGTTAACGGTTACGGTAACTCATGAAGTTATAACATAACAGTTTAACTCCAAATTGAAAATTGTATGATTGTAACAACCCCTATTTTTTCCTAAATGATCAATTAACATTTACCAAACAAATATATTTAGAAGTCACTCAACTAAGGTAATAAAAAATTAAAGAATATGAACAATAATGAAACTTTAAAAATATAAATATGAAATTGATATAAATGTTAAAAGTATTTTTGACCCGCATGAACACTGCTCAAGTGATTAAAGTATATATTTCTTCTTCTAAAATTAGAGGTTCAAATTTTCACCCTACATTAACATTTCTAAAAAAAAAATGTAATTTAATGTAATTATTTATTATCAAATTAAAAGTGGGCGTAACTTTAATTTTTTATTAGAAGAAATGAGCTCGATTTTTAAACGAGAGAATGAAAATAGAAAAGATAAAGCCCAAATCATATCCTTATGGATTGTCAAATTTTAAAAACAAAGGCTGAAGAATGGTTTCATCTTTCATGAACAAGATTACAAACTGGACTTTGAGCGACACATTTTGTTATAGACTAAATATTTCAAATAGTCCTAATCTCTTAATTAAAGAACTTTCAATTTTGTTTTTAATTTTTAAAAATGGTCAAATATCTAAATAACATATTCACCTATCTAAATCTTAAAGTAAAATACTAACCCAATGACATATTTGAAAAAAATCAATAAATTAAGGATAAAACTAACCAATTTTGAAGATTTTCGATGAAATTGAAAAATTCTTAAAAGATCGATCAGAGACCGTTTTATATATTTAATATTTGTTACAGTTACAAATATTTAAACTCTTAGATTATAAAATTAAAGAAAAAAAAAACTTAGGTCTTATTTGGTGATCTAAATCATGACATTGTACTCATTTTTTGTGCACGCATGAAGGCGTGCGTCCTAAAGTTGTTAAGTTGGATGCCCAAATTTGAAATGCCCTTTACTTATCTCTCCTTTTCTTCTTAGTGATAAGGGCATCCAATTTCAATTCAGACTTGGCCTTTCCTTCTTTGATTAAAATATTTTCAAAACAAAACAAAATTTCTTTTAAAAGCGTCATGGAGTGAGAATTTGAACTTCCAACTTCAATACGAAAAGTAAGATGTTTTAACCGTTGAACTATGTTCATATTGAGTGAATTAAAAAAACTGTTTCACGTAGTTTTATATTTTTATTATTTTGAGTGTCTGTGCTAACTTATAATCGTATTTTGATTAATCTTATAAAACAACCGTCTGACGATACTACATTTGGTTGTCCAAGAAAATTCATGGGATACTAAATCTTAGGAAGAAAGTTACCATGATTTGAACTAATTGCCACCAAATTATTTAGAATTTACGTTGGTTCTTTTAGACTACTAAGCCAACCCATGATAGGTAGATATAGTGAAAAATTAGGATGTCGACGGAAGAGTCAATTATAGATTATTTGATAAAGTTTTTTTTTTTAATCCTTGTTGTCTGTTTTTAGATTTTAAGAAATAGTTAGGTTTGATAATGCTTTTTATTTTTAGTTTCTCGTATTTATAAAAATGTTAGTAAACAAACTTAAATCTTTAAAAGCAAAAAATACGAATTTTTTTGATTCAACGACATGTGTAGGGGACTTCTAGACTTTTGATCTATGATATGGTTGGAACTAAAAGTGATTTAGATGAAAAGGATCGTTGTTCGAAAGA